TTTAATTTTGCGCCGCCTCCGAAAAGGTTGAAATGTATTTAATATAATACCTAACGAGTAAATAGGTTTCATTCATATCTGTTACGTAATTGTATGATTGAATGAAATAGAAATTACTTTATTAGGAAATAGAAATTATTTTATACTTTTTAGTGCATTTCGAAGTCGGCGTATTTTTTTTCTAAAAATTATTTTTTAATTGTATTGTGTCTTCAGATTTTATGGACAAAAATTATCCCTTGAAGTACTAATCAGATTAATCTTTAATATAAGGAATTATCTCTCAATATCTGAAATTTTAAAGGAAAATTATTTGTGGCCATCATTATTTAGTAGTTTAACAATAATTTTGTATATTTATCACTTTAACAATAATTTGAATAATTATGTTTAATATTAAATAATAGTGTGATATGTAATGGACTTTTGTTATCATTAACTTTTAAAACAATATGGAGTTGCTAGAGTGAAATTTTATCTATTATATTAACGTAATCAGATTTCAAGAGTTGATGTAAAGTAGAAAATTGCAATATTATAGATTAATGTAAAAAAACAAATATAGGCATTCTTCGAATAGCACGGTACGTGAATTACGCGAAGTTGCGAATAACAGAGATAAAAATTGCGATAATCCTCGAATACGGAATTTGAATTACGTATATGACTGTAAGATCATTGACTAGGTAATATCCGAAGAAAAAAAACAATATACTGTAGAAACCCAGGAACTGGCGCGTAGGAGGTTGACACAGAGTAAAAGAAACTACTCATCGTTCCGCCTATTCCCACCGTGAACACCTCCAGCGTAACATATCGGCCAATAAGAATAATAATAACAATAACTGCATCACACAACTAGCACTATCTCTATCACACAGACGTTTGCCCATAGTCATTTTTTGGCCTAATTGGTATGCTGACCGTTCGAGCCAATAATTCCTACCGAAAATACGTGTGAGTCTAGATGTCTACTTTTCTATTTTTCTATTCTGACCAATTAGGGCCGTAGCCTTTCCCAACTCCTGGATCAGCCTCCTACGCGCCAATTCCTGGATTGTCCAGGGTACACATAATGGGTGAATTGAGTAGAAAAAAGCCTGGTTACAGGAAAAACCTGGTTTCGAATAACACGGAATCAATTAACCGTGTTATTCGAGGGACGCCTGTAATATCTAAATTACTTATGTTTTTGTGGACACTATACCTGCGAACGAAACGATGGAGTCAACTTCAACGGGTTCCACTGGTTGACCATCGCTAGCAATGACTGTAAGTTTGTGATTTTCAATTGTCAATTGTAGACCGCAGACAGTACAAATAGAGTTGATAAAACGGAACCGATATCGATTATTAGCATCCACACTAATCACTTCCAACGGAAGTTGCGCCATGCTACCATCGGAATTCTGTAATATTCATAAATGAAAATTATTTAATATCATGAAATCGAATTCAAAAATTCACAAATTCACAAATTCACAAATCCACAAATACACAAATCCACAAATACACAATCTCACGAATCTTCAAATTTACATGTCTACAAAGTCCCAAGTTCAAAAATCCACAAATGCATAAATCCGCAAATTCACAAATCTACAAACTCACAAAACCAATAGTTCATAAATGCACAAATCCACAAAACCAACAACTGCATATATTTATAAATTTAAAAATGTGCAAGTTTACAAATTTTCAAGTTTACAAATTTATAAATTTTTAATTTCTCAAATCTTGTTTTTGCAACGTTCGCTTGTATCATCGTAAATAATAAAAAGCTTCAAAATAACCATAGTAATTGCTTCAACATATACACGTCCATTTAAAGTGCGCCCACTTTACTAAACATAAATAAACCGTCCGTAGCGAAAGGTTTAAGAAAAAATCTACTCACCCTATACCTTCCCCTTCCATTAACAAGAAACGACTCAGGAAGATGTTGTTTTATACCAATTTTTTTTCCTGGAAATCGACTTGTAGTTTCTTCAGAAAACCAATCGTTGACTAACATCACATGATTCGCTAAATCAAAGTCGTAAAGCTTTGAATGAACCTCAAGTTGTTCCGGTTCTCTTACAATGAAACTACCGAATACGCCGTCCATTTTCTGTGCACCCGTGTGCGCGTGCCAGAAATGTGTTCCACTGTTGTCTGCGTAAAACTGATACCTGTAAAAGAGACATTCATTGCCAATAAATTCGTAATGTTGAATTTTCGAGTTCATTTTTGTAGGACCGTTTATTTTGAAAGTGATCTAAGTCCGTTTGTCAATTGTTTGTTCTTCACTGTAGTAATATGTACTCACTGTTAACTGTCATAAACATTTTACGGTATATTCAGAGTATATAAATTTTTTTATAGTTGAAAAATTGACTTTGGAAGTGGCCTAAGTGCAATCTATTGTAGATAATATCAGAAACAGTGGATTTATAAATGTCATTCCAAATGTTTGTTATATTTGTTTAACACACTGCATTATATTCTGATGGTACTTAAAAATATACATTACAAAAAATTATGAAGACTTGTTAATTGAACTATGGAGAACAGCTTTGTTCCGCAATAGCTATCAAACTAATAATTTCTTAATTTTTAGCATATATTTTGCGGACTTATCAATCTTGAAAGAATTGCCAAATTTTTACCTGAACGAATTTTTGTATACGATCGGGCATTGCGTTAGATTTGGAACACCATCCTGATGCGGGGAGCCTTTTTGCTTTACTCCGTGCCAATGGATCGTCAATGCTTCTGAATTTATGTTGTTTAAAACATCGACCACAACATAATCGCCTTGACAAACCTGAATACTTGGACCTGGTAACATTCTGTTCACTGTCAAAGCCATACGCTCGAGTCCATCGCCAGGGACGCATTGACAGTTAGCACAAATGCTATTGGTCATGTTAGGACTGCAATAATCGCATGCACTGGAAAGAATAAATTAGTATTAAAGTATGGAGTGTGTGCAGTATAGTCCCTGGTTATCGAATTAGGATCACGTACAAAAATTTCACTTTCATAACATTATGTCATGTATAGAAAATTGTCTTAGGTCATGCAAATTATTACTAAATACGTTAATAACGATATATACATAGCAATTTATTACTATCGTGATAATAAATTGTGTGATGAGTGATAAAGGGCCGTGCGATTACGTTCGGCTCGAGTATTGATAGCGCGTCAGGTGAAAGAGTGCCATAGAAAATATCTGCCTATGCAAAAGAGTAGTTTACAACTCTCCAACCACATGATCTCAGTTGAAAAGAATTACAGATATGTGGGAAAATAATGAAGATAAAAAGCATATGATGTATATAGAGCATGCCGAAAGCTGTCACCAAAGGGGTGGAAGTACGAGATATTAAACTGCGTTAATTATGTTACGTACAGTAGTAGTAATGTTAGTAGCTAATAAATATCATTATGATTTGAACAGACCTTTTAATTTTATGAGAAATGTAACAAATGCTGAAAATTTATAGTGATTCTATTCGATGGCCAGGGAATAAGTATTTAATGACTGTATAAGTATTTAGTGATACGTTTGTGTATTGTAAACGTGTAAAATTTAAAAACTTCGAAATTTCGAAATATAAAAATATGAAAATTTGTTAGGGACTTGGAAATTTCGAAATTTAAAAATCTAGAAATTTGAAATTGGAAGACTTGGAAACTTGAAAATTTAAAAATATAAATACTTGAAATAAAACTTGTAAACTTCGAAATTTAAAGTTATGAAATTTGAAAGTATAGAATCAACGATATCATGAAGATGAAAAGTTTAGTAGTACACTTACACTCCATTAGTAGGATATCGCTCAATCACAAATTTATAATAACATGTTCTCGCTTCTCCTACTTGACACGTGCGAGCACATTCGAGAGGATTTGAGAGGTATGGATCAGCATGTAGTTCTTCGTTCATACAGCTTTTCTCGTCTATAGGTTCCATTCCACTAACACCAGCATGGTAACCGGCTTTTATATTTGCAGCAGCTACATTCTTCCCTGTAACTAAAATTAAACAATTTAATCCATTATTACTTTGAAGCTAACTCTAATTGGATTTTAGCTATAACTTCATTTTACTGATACGTTTCGTTTATTTTCGTTTTTTTTCCACTTGCACAAACTGTAAAAACGCTTCTAAAATTAACACAAATATCTACAAACATTGTCACTTAATGAAAATGTTATTTTCACGTTACACTTTAAGAAACCAGAGAAAACATTGCAAACTACACACTGCACTATTACTGAATTTCTAGTAAATATCAAAATGTAAATAATAAAACGAAACAATATTTAATTGAAGGACTCTTATGTATTTTTTTTAATGTAAAACATTTTCGATGTATAAACCGTCATTAGAGAAAAAGAACATAAGTGTGGTGGACTGCAGTAAAAATAATTAATGACACGAACTTTTTCAATGAATGTGTAACTTTTTCAATTAAACGTTCCGTTTGCTTTATGTTGTTAAGAAAATTACTATTCAGAAATCTTTGTTTCCTCCACTCTGTAATTATTTCGTTAACTTATATTTGGGCGGTTAATGGCCACTGTGATAATGTGCTGAAAATGATTAATACAGTTTCTGCAATATATTAGTTTCTAATACCTATATAAACATATTATAATAGCAATGCAATTATTCCCGTTAATTATTATTGCTTAAATAACAATTTGGTATACTTGTATTAATATCAATTCAACTTCATAAATTTCAATTTAAACGTATGTTGTAATCATAACAAACACTATCACGAATAATTGCATTTGTCATTCACTTCCTGAATAGAAAAGTGATTATAAAACAAATTGTTTGAAAAAATGAAGATTTATACCGGCAAGAATAAGCAGAGAACATAAAAGTGCTTCCTTGATCGAATTCATTGCGATGTGCGGCAGAAGATCCAGAAAAATTTTCTTTTATATAATAACAACGACTGATTTCTCCACAAATTAACTTTGCATTAGTTCATTGATAAGATTAATTTATTGTCGACGATAATGAAATTGTTACGATATGGTTTTTAATAAGATAATAAATTATGAGTGACCGCAAATTAACGAGTAGGCCACTCAAAAAATGAGGAAACGTATAAATTTTCCGTTATGAAAGATAAGGGAATGGACAAAACAATTTCAATGCGGATATAAAACAGTAAGCACCTTATTTATACACCAAGCCATCATGTTATATCTTTAATTAATCATTCTGATGTCTTATTTCTAAATCAAAATTAAATCATGATATGTGGAAGAAAGATAGATATTGCTGCTAGTAAGTACTAGTGAAGTTTGTAGTAGCAATAAAATAGCAATACTTGATCCAATAACACAATCTACCAACGACACCATTTTTGAGAATACTGAAGAAGAACTATTTACATCATATGTAGAAAAATATTTTCTTAACTTCACCAATTACGAAAGAAAGTGCTTGAAGTTACTGAATATAAGTTAATAGTGTTAGTTTAGCACAGAGGATTAGCACACAGGATTAGCACTAGAGCGACAAATGTATGCAACAAAATACGTTTCTCCTTCAATGTACTTTTCCTGAATTTTGTCTGCCGTTAAGAATCTTAATTTTATTTAGAAATTTCAGTATTCTTTAATTTAAAAGTTCGAAGATTTGAAAGCCCGAATGCCCATAAATTGAGGAGTCTCAAAAAGTTGGTTGCTAGAAATTGAAATTTCGTCTGGGAATTTAGAAATCTGGAAATATATTCAAAAACGTATGCATATGAAAATATAGAGCCTTAATAATTAAAAATTTAGAAATTCGAAAGTTCAGAAATGCGAAACATCAGAAAGTTTAAAGGTTTGAAAATGTTTAACTTGCATATATAATTAAAAATCCCCGTTTAAAGAAAAGAGATAACTAAGATATTGAAATTAGAACAACAAAGATAAGAGAATACTGGAATCAACAAAATGGGCCAAATACAACGAAAAAGATTTCAGAAAATTAATTTAGAACTGTTTTCAAGCTTGTAATTACAAAAAATCTCGGTAGCTTGTTCCGCCAAATCTGTATAAGTAATCAGAAGCTATTAATTAATCTTGATGATAATATCGATAATATTTGATTGCTTTGTAACGACTCTGGAACCCAGGTTCAGATAATTACAAGCGCTAGGAAGGTAAAGAGTGGCTTTTACCCACTAAACGACTCGTTTTCGCAAATAACTAATCTAAAGAATGTGGGATTCGTGTGGTGTGCGGTTAACACGTTGAGTGCCACGCGCTTTTTTAAGGAAATCCCAGTCAGGCCACGCACGCTGCCTAGAAGCGCGCTGGTATCGTGGTACAGCAATGCTTTTTATGCTTACCATGTTTTAATAAAATCCATTAATAATAGAATCCCGTATTAAATAAAAATTAAGTGGACTTTAAATAAATTTTAGGTAACAACTTAAAACAATGTAAATTTTTTAGTTTATGTCATATTTTACACTGTCAGTCACCGGTGACTGACGCGGCCTGAACGGAAAGTTCAGTGTCAGTCACCGATGACTGACGTGGCACTCAACGTGTTAAGGAGTGAAATCCACAGGTCAATATCTTTCAACAATTGGGTTTATTCAATAAAACGATAAGAAAATAAAACTAACAAATAATAATAACAACAAGATAAAAGTTCAGTGTCAGTCACCGATGACTGACGTGGCACTCAACGTGTTAAGGAGTGAAATCCACAGGTCAATATCTTTCAACAATTGGGTTTATTCAATAAAACGATAAGAAAATAAAACTAACAAATAATAATAACAACAAGATAAAGAAAAGTATATAGATTATAAATGATTAATTAGAATAAAGAAACTAAATAGATCTTGATATATTGATAATAATAGAAATAATAGAAGTTGACAAGTTAAACAGCACGTAATAGATAATTGTGAATTTAACAAAATGTAACTCGCTAGTTAATACTTTATATCGAATTGTACCTAAGTCTGATCTTTGATAAAGCTAACTCTGCTTTTATAATATTAACTAAATTTGGTATTCTTTATATGTATACAGTGTGTTACCTGTAACGCTACTCACGATTTTTCTCCCACTTGCAATCACCCTACGAAAAAATGTTTAAAACAATATTTGCAAGGTATAAAGTGCACAATAGATATTAGTAAAGCAAATTTTGAAAATATTACTGAATGTAAATACGCAACTAGAATGTAAAAAAATACACTTTATTTAATTATATGTTCAAAATGTATGCCGCCCCCATCACGTAATATTCCGGTCTTTTACTTCATATTTCTACTTATGTAAATCGAGTAATACGAGGTGTGACACAAAAGTAACGAGACTAGTCCAATAAATCATTGTACCTGCAGAATCAGTTCTCCGTGACATTATCACCTTCAAAGTAGTCCCCTTCAGCATTCACACACTTATGCATTCGGCGCTGCTATTGCTGGTAACAATTCTGGAACGAGGTTTTTGGAAGTCCTTTCGGACGATTCTCCGTTTTTGCCTGAACCTCTTCAACTGAGGTGAAATGGGTTCCCTTTAAGCAAAATTTAACTTTAGGAAATAAAAAAAAGTCGCATGAAGCCAAATCAGCATAAGTGTGTGAATGCTGAAGGGGACGACTTTGAAGGTGATAATGTCACGGAGAACTGATTCTGCAGGTACAATGATTTATTGGACTAGTCTCGTTACTTTTGTGTCACACCTCGTATTACTCGATTTACATAAGTAGAAATATGAAGTAAAAGACCGGAATATTACGTGATGGGGGCGGCATACATTTTGAACATATAATTAAATAAAGTGTATTTTTTT